GGGGGGGAAGCACTCAAGCCATCTTTAAGCCTTATGAAGAAGCTGATGAGAGAACAGACAAATACTATCTTCTCTTCTTTTTTGATCCTAAGTTAGATCGTCTTGAAGATTCTTTTGACCAAAGTCATTCAGTGAGACAACAGGCAGAAACTTTTCTTCATTCTTTCTAAGCCTACTTCTTTGCCCTCTACCTGTTCTGTATTATTATTATCCTTACTATTACTATTCAATCTTCAAGAAACAAGCTAACTTTTTATAAAGGAAGACTGCACTACACACCATGTATCGAGTTTTCTCTCTGAAATAGTATTGCCTTTAACAACTAATTGCAGCAGCACACCAGATTCTTAGCTGTAACAGAGAGTATTAATAATTATTTTTGCTTACTGCTTTTTCATCAAGCAAGGCACAAAATTTAAGTAAATGGCTGCCAACTTATTCAGGCTAAAATTGTAAGATGGAAGAGGAAATGACATAACAGAAAAGTAGAATTTATGCAAAATGTTGGCAAGGTTTAAGCAAAGCTCAGAAATCTTCATAAATTAGCACTACACAGTAATTCATACTACTTGAATCATGCTTCTCTACCCTTCCACTTCAACATGATATGGCAGGAAGTAATTAATGGAGACACACTCCCTTGTATATAGCTAGAAAGAATTAATCTAGCATCTCATTTGTGGTATTGTCTGTTTGGAAAAACAATTTTTCCCCATATAGAACAGTTTGTTTCACATGTAACTCCAGAGATTAGCAGCTCTTTGTTCTTTAAATACACATAAAGAAACTTAATGGGAGCCTGTACGGAAAATTTTCACAAGGGCTTTGCTACATATGTAGGTAAAGTGTTCCACAGTCATTTATCTTTTTAAAAAAATCAAAATTAAAATAAGATAGCCAAATAGAGACCTGAAATTCAGTATTATGTACTACGGTTTAAATAAAAGCATTAATTTTTGTTATTTCTTTTCCCTTCCTGCTTTTTTACTCAAAACTACAAAACCTGCTTAGATTAAAACCTGTTTTTCATAAATTATTTTTTGATATATGCACAGCACACAGTTCATGCCCTTCCAATCAGTTTTACATAAAAACTAAAGCTAGAAACTAGTTATGTCCTCAACGATTAGGCACCTATTTTTGCAGGAGTAAAGGCCGCTAAGAACATCTCGGGATTTCATTAGAAAGATAAATAAGAAATACTAGACATATACATTTTAAAAATATTAACTTTAGTGAGATTTGGAGAGAGATCTGGTAAACCTTTCAAACTGACAGGACTCATATCACAGCCTCATACTTGTCGCTGAATCAATTGGAGCAAGCTCTGAGCAAGACAAACACAAAAGACAAATGAGCTTTCCACAGATCCAGTATTATCATTAATATATCTTATGGATGTAATTCCAAGATCCACAACAAAACAAACAAACAAGCAAGCAAAAAAATATATAGGGCACATTCTTCTCATTTAGCTATTCTTTGTGTTAGATTTAATTTAATACACCGAGTTTGCAATCAAGTGTAGGGCAAGATACGTGTAAAATACAAAACTAAAGAAAGCAAGCAGATCCCCCTTTCCCAACGCTAAAGTCTAAGCGCGTGTATCATACTTCTACCTGTAACCATCTCATAATACTGTTTAAAAACATGACACAGGTACTCTTGCAAACTTGTTTTGGCTGATCAGTTCAGACAAGGAAAACTGCCAGTTTAAACAAAGGGGAAGAAGGCAGAAGGCAGAGCACAAGCCCCTTCCGTCCAAAGCCTCAGAAAACAAGAGAGCCTGATGTACCGAATACACCGACCCGAGCTAACATTCCTCCAGAAGATGTGTACCAGTTTGCGATAAACAGACATTCCTATCTCTATTCCTCAAAGGCCAAGGAGTAGTGAACTGGCCCAAGTATGCCAGTAAGAGTTGGCAGAACCGTGCCCCAGTTGAAATCGGACATAAAAAGGAAAAGAGGTTCATGACCAGAATTTTTTATGAAGCCGATAATTTTCAATAGCCAAAGTGCCTGCATTATTTTAAAGGGGGCAAACCGCTAGAGCGCTGCGAGATAGCAGTCGGACAGACGGCTGACTCCCTGTACAACCGTGCAGGTGGCAGAAAAGCAGCTTTTTGATTACGTGCCTGAGGCTTGGACTTTTCAGGCAGCACTCACGGGTTTAGAGGGGCAGCAGCTGCTGTCCTTGTGCTCCTTTAGTGTCTGGTCACAGCCAGTGCTTTTCTAGCAAGGACTTTGCTTGATCTGTGAAAGCAGCTGGAGGAACACCCAAGCTCTTGTGCTGCCTCACCCCTCCTCGGCAGCAGCACAGAGGTGAAAAACTTCCACGTTTCTCTCCAGCTTCCATCACCCCAGCAAAACCCGTCAGGTTATCTCAGACCCAGCATAACAGTCGCTAGAGCTAATTTGTCACACAAGGCCAAATTCTGTGTCCTTTTTCACCATCCTAAACAAAGAGGAAGCTATAGTTTCAACATCTGTCATCTGTAATAAACGAAGTATCCCATCAAGCTGTAGTACTAATTACCTAAAGCAAATCACCCTGCCTAAAAAAGTTAAGAGGTTAAACACCAGAAAGTTTCAAAATGACAGTTTTCCTGGCTTTCCACTAGGGAGGGGACAAGTACAACAGCACAGTTGTAATGACTCCAAAACTACACGCAATTCACAAACATGATACTCATTCTCAGCGACTCACTGGCCCTCGCTTGAGAGTAAATTGGTGCGAAGACGCGTTTTACACACACCAGCGTGAAGGCTGCACACACGCCTGCCTTCCAGCGGACCCCTCTGTAACCACTGCTGATGAGCACAGGAGGGGGCGACCAGCCCTGTGCCAGAATCAGATCACACCACACTTCGCTGTAACAAAAGATGACTCCAGCGAGTTTGTGCTCATCATCGTTATTCCACGCACGTAAGAGCCACCTCCAACGGCTTTTACTTCAATTCAACCTTTACTACTGTAAAGGGCAGAGGGGGTACGAACACATTTATACTGCGTCGACGGTGGAAGGGGTAATGAGGGTAAAGGGCATGGAGTATCGCGCCGGATCCCCATTTACAGACTTCCCCCCCACCTTCCCCTGTAACCTTCCTCCTCCCCCCCCCCCCCCCCTTTTTTTTCTTTTTTTTTTTTTTTTTCCAGCTGAGCACTTGCCTCTCCTCCGTGCCCATCAAATATCCCGAAGATGGAGGGGTGAGTCTTGTTCACCAGGTCGGTGATTACTTCGAACCTGTCCTCCATGTGATCCCTCCGGCCTTGGATGGAGTAGACAGCCACGTTGTGGCTCTTGAACTCCCAGGTCTTGGAGAACTCTGCGTCCAGCACGTCTAGCCCCCCGAGCCTGTCATTCTGCATGATCTCGGCCACCTTGCCCTTCACCATCTTCACCGCGTCCCTGCTGGACTTAACAATGGTTTTCACCTCATCCGTGTGGAAGAAGTAACTCCACAGGGCCAGGCTGATGCACAGCAAGAACAGGGTCTCCGGTCTAAGCAAGAAGTAACGCATGATCCGACCCAGCAGAGACAGCAAAGTCATTTTTTCCTCTATCATTTATTATCGAGACCGTGTATCCCCGCACCATGCAACGCGCACCCCGGCGGCTGC